TGGAGAGGGGAATTAACAGGAGATAACTGATAAGTGACATCCATTAGACATGGCACATGGAACGAGAAGAGTCTACCCCAGTGAGCGAAATAAAGGGTTCAGTTCGACATTCCAACCACCTGAAGAAGGCCGGAGCTGAGAGTTTAAACATTTCAGAATATACTGGACGCTATTCATAGCAGCCATATGAAGGTTTCGATCTGGGATTTTTTTTTTCTGTTAAGAAATTATAAATTTTAAATTAATTTTTTTTTTTGTTTTTTATTAAATTTTTAGCGCTCTTTTGAATTTGCTTTGCAACAACACCAACCCTCAGAATGCAAAATAACCAAAAATCAGGGAGTTATTCCCATTTCATAAGTACGGGTGATATTCGAGGTACTTACAAGGAATTTTTACAATTAAAAAGTAACTCTGTTTTCGGCTTGTTTATCGGGCTGATCTCGAGTGGTTACGCGGAATAAGCGTTAAGATTGATGATGAGAAAATGACTAGAGCTTTTAAGTTAATGATTAGGATTTCTTTAAAACTTTCCCTAATTTAAAATTTAAAAGAAAAATTAAAAAAAAAATCTGTTTTTGGTGTGTTTGTCAGGGTGAGCGTTTCGCAGACCACTCACTTAGAAATAGAGCACCCGAGTCTCTCATATTTGGAACGATCACAAACGGCAACCCAACTAGAGTGCAATGATGGGGCTTTGAATTGGGAGAATTTCTTTTTGAATTTTAGTAAATATAAATTCTTTTTTATTTTGGGGGTGAATTAATATTTTGAGGTGAATTAATGTTCCGGGGTGAATTAATATTTTAGGGTGAATTAACAGAAAATATCCTCGATCTGACATGACTATTCATTTAACGCTCGATATTTGGTTTGGTTTGTTTTATGCCATATCAAACTCAATGGGTTATATAATCCCGACAGCTTCTTTTTGTTCTGGTAATATTTTGTTTTGTCAAAAATCAGTTTCTGCTAATATTTTTCCTCAAAAATGTACAGCTGGTAATATTATTTTAAGAAATATATTGCTGGTAATTTTTTTTTTAAAAACGTATTGCTGGTAATATTTTTTTCAAAAATATATTGCTCGTAATAATTTTTTTTCTTCCAAAATTTATTTCTGGTAATAATTTTTTACAATGTATTTCCGGTATTAAAACCTTTTTTTACACTATCTTAATGTTTTTACCTCAGTTTCGGGGTTAACTATTTGCCCATAGCTGGGACCCTAACAGGTGCTACCACCCCGAGTCAGGGTGGGCCTGGGAACACCAGCAATTAAGAGGTGGTTCCATGCTCCTCAAAACCTCCTGATCAGAGGCCTTGCTGTTGGACGTAATTTATCGTCTTACCATGGACACAGATGTAGTTTATCGTCTTACCATGGACACGGATGTAGTTTATCGTCATACCCAGGACGGCCACGCGGTTTTTAATTGATATCTTATCAATATCGCAGCTTATACTTAGTTAAAAATTAATAGTAATGCTTGACAGATTCCTAAGCTCCATACGAAAATACTTAGATTTGAAGATAATCGCGTACCTAAGACTCCATGGCCATCTTATTGTTCTTAATTCTATCGTATTTTATTTTTCCTACTTTCATTTATTTTCCTTCATTTAAACTCCGCTCTTTTATCAAACTAATTTAAAAAAAAATAACTCTTATGATGTTGATTTAGGGTTAGTAGAGACAAACGCCAAATAACAGCTAACAATAAAAAGAGTTTTAATAGGTTGGTAAAAAGGTACAGAAATCGCATGACTAGTCAATAACTAGCTCAGCTAAGAACTTCTCTGTCTATCTATCTTAGTATTTATCGATCCACCCACGAGGATTAAATATGGCAAAAGGCCGGTTTAATGTGGGTATCTCCGAGCCCGTAGGCTCGGCCAAAAATATAGCCTTTGAACCCGCCTAGACGGGTTCAGTCCCTGTCTACCTCCCCGGACGAAACCTTGCCCTTCGGCAAAGCTTCGTCCGGGTTCCTCTCTGCTAACGCAGAGAGTTCGACAGACGTCGCTTACAGTCAAAAGACTGTATCACGACTCAGATAGACTCGGAGGTCTATCTGTCTTCCGTCATGTCAACCGACATGCCACTATTTAAAGTTTTTGTTCACAGACGCAGACAAGTTCATCTTCAAGAGGGGTGGTAAGTTTCCGACACAACAATAACAAAACAAAAAACTTTTTTCCAGTTGACCTGAAAGTGATTGGGCAAATATTTTTTTTTTTTTTGGTCTAAAAATAATCTCGTGTCGTAGGGTAATCTTAATGTTCTGTTGGATTATATTCTGAGAGAGGATATTTGTACTAGTTAAAACTTAATACATAACGGCCTCAATTGATGATTATATCAACAAAGTTCGCTTAACCCCACGTCTTAGGTAAGACGCACGTTTAATTCAGGGCGGTGGTTGCAAGAATGGAGGGTCAGGATTGATGGCTTAGTTTAAGAAAATGACTAGAGTTTTTAGGTTAATGCTTTGGTTTTGTGTGAAACTACCCCAAGGCCGGCGTAGTACGTGTTCATTTTCTTTGTCTTCTCTGTAAAATGTGCTATAACTCATCCGTACCACCAAAGATTGGGGGGTTTGGAATAGATAAGCGTGAAATAAGATGACAACAGTTTCAGACATCGCTGGTGGATATATTCGAACGATCCAGAAGTGTCGGGAAAAGATTATTGGGAGAACTTGAAATAATCCAATCGCTTTTTTTAAAGCATTACGCCTCGAGCAAGGCGTGAAGCCACTAGGATGCAGGGGGTTGCAGAAGATTTGGAGCAAGAGCAGATAGGAGTGATAGAAGAAAGGATGAGGAGAGGGATAGTGGATAGATCAAGGTAACTGGAGATGTCGATTGACATTACATTTGAATAGTTGGAGATTATAGTTCTCAGAGAAACAGTAATTGGGGAGGGTGGTCCACAGGCGAGAGGTGCGAGGTATGAAGCTATTGGAGTAGAAGAGACGGCTACATTTAAAAGTTTCTACAGTGTAAGGGTGGGAGCGGGATGCCAGTCTCGTAGGGCGCTTGAATTCATGGAGTCTGGGAACCAGTGAAAGCAGCTCCTCGGAGCAATTACCATGGAAGTATTTGTAGAAAAGACAGAGAGAGGCGACGGCGCGTCTGTGAGAGAGTGACTGTAGACGAGATGCCAGATCAGCGCCAATTATATTACATATCCGTCTCTGGATCTTGTCAAGAACTCCGAGGCAAATAGAAGGGGCTCCAGATCATATATGGCAGCAATACTTCATGCAAGGGCGAATGGTTGATTTGTATATTTGAAGTATCGATTCCGGGGAGAAAAATTTCCTGGCGCGGCACAGAGAGCCAACTTTCCTCGCGGTGGAAAAGCAATTGACTCAATGTATTTGTTCCATTTCAGGTCAGCAGTCAACGTGAGACCGAGCAGACGCAGGGAGTTGCTCTCAAGAAGTTGACTATCAGACATTCTAATGGGGGGGATAGGGAAGGATCTCTATGGTGATTAATAGAGAATAGTTTAGTTTTTGAGGCGTTAAAGTTGATCAGCCAATTCTTGCTCCAATTAACAACCGATTGGAGGTCCATTTCAAGACGCACGGCCAGGTTAGTTTTGTCATCGACACTACAATACTGAGGAAGGACCTGGAGTACGGAGACGTCCTTGCTGCCAGTTAATCTCCACCGTCTGTTTATTGACGGATTCTTTCGTTTTCTCCGGCTTATCAATACATTGCAGGTAATTAAAGCCAGAAAATTTAAAGAAAAAAAATAAAGAAAATTTAAAGAAAATTAAAGCCAGGTAATTCAAAGCCAGAAAATAATTTTACATTGTAAAACTTTTCTATTAGAGATAATAATGTTTCAGTAATACAGATCTTACTAATTAACCCATATATGGAGGGACAAGAGGTGGATTCATAACTTTCCAAAGGGTATTTACGTGTGAAATAAGATGACAATAGATTCAGACATCGCTGGTGGATATATTCGAACGATCCAGAAGTGTCGGGAAAAGATTATTGGGAGAACATGAAATAATCCAATTGCTTAAAAAAACAAAAAAAAAAAACAACTACAATACTGAAGAAGGTCCTGGAGTACGGAGACGTCCTTACTGTAAGTTAATCTCCACCAGCTGTAGATTGACCTATTCTTTCATTTTCTTCGGCTTATCAAACACAATGCAGGTAATTTCAAGCCGGAACATTGTGAGACTTTTCTATTGGAGATAATAATGGTCCAGTGATACAGATCTTACTTATTAACCCATATATGGAGGGAGAAGATGTGGACTCATAACTTTCTGAAGGGTATTTACGCTTAAGTTAATATTACGAACCCAACGGGGTTTGGAACTCGGCTCACAGATTAATAAATCCGAGACATTATTCCTCGAACCAACCGCACACCCTTAATTTAAAACACCAAACTCGACCTTGCATAACTTCGTGATGTTTCCGTAAGCCTTCGGTTACTGCAGGTATGAACCCTCAATATAATAATAATAATAATAATAATAATAATAATAATAATGGATGTAAGCATTAGCCACAAGAACAGATTTCCCTTAGGGTCTGCGGGTATATCTTCTATTGTTCTCATTTTTATGCTTTCAAACTGTAAACTGTGCAAGTAAATGGTATAAATGAACACGCCTTGGCTGTTGTTGCTAAATATTCTGTGGGTGGACCCAAGGGTGGCTTGCTTTTTTTTGTGACGCAGTCTTTTATTCGATACAAATGCCAGAAGCATGTCAATTAAATTAGGCGTAAAAAAAAAGTTTTTGTGTAAAGTCGAGAGCAGAAAGTTTAATGGTTGGTTGGGTTGGGAAAACGGTGAGGATCTAAACATCAGGGGTGGGGGTTGCGTGTTGATAAGGAAATATATTGATTAGGCAATGAAAAAGGAAAGACGACCTAAAATGATAATCAAATAGAAAGAAAAACGGGGTAAAAAAAAGCCCCCCAAAAGATGAGCTAGTAAAGAAGAAAAGGAAATAATTAAAGAAGAAGGAGATAGAAAGTAAGGTGAAGATAAAAGAAAAAAAAAAGAAAGAAAAAAAGAAAGAAAAAAGAAAGAAAGAAAGAAAGAAAGAAAGAAGAAGAAAGAAAGAAAGAAAGAAAAAAGAAAAAGAAAGAAAGAAAAAAGAAAAAGAAAGAAAGAAAGAAGAAAGAAAAAAGAAAGAAAGAAAGAATAAAAGAAAGAAAGAAAGAAGTAATAAATGAAGAATTTATGCAATTAAAAAGGAAAGAAAGGAAGAATAAGAAAAGGATAGAACTCGAGGCGAGAAGAAATGAAAGAGTTACGTGAAGAAAGAAAAAAAGAAACAACTAAATAATGAAAGAAAGAAAAGGAAAAAAAGAAAGAAAGAATAAATGAAGAATTTCAGTAAATAAATAAGAAATAAAGAAAAAAACTAGATAAAACGCAATAGGAAAATTAAAGTTATGCGTGAAGAAAGAAATACAGAAAGAAAGAAAAGAAAGAAACAAAGACAAAAGAAACAAAGGATAAGAAAGAAAGAAAGAAAGAAAGAAAGAAAGAAAGAAAGAAAGACAAAAATAAAGAAGGAAAGAAATGAAAAGACAGTGAAAGGAAAAGAAAAGCAAATAAATTAATGGCAGGAAAGAAAGAAAGAAAAAAAAAAATAAAGAAAGAAAGAAAGAAAGATATTATGGAAAGACAGTGAAAGGGAAAGAAAAGCAAGCATAAATTAATGGCAGGAAAGAAAGAATGAAAGAAAGAAAAGAAAGAAAGAAAGAAAAGAAAGAAAAGAAAGAAAAAAAAAGAAAGAAAGAAAGATATTGAAATGGAAAGAAAAAGCAACATAAATTAATGGTAGGAAAGAAAAAAAGAAAGAAAAAGAAAGAAAGGAAAGAAAGAAAAGAAAAAATAAAGAAAAGATATAATGGAAAAGACAGTGAAAGGAAAAGAAAAAAGCATAAATTAATGGCAGGAAAGAAAGAAAGAAAGAAAGAAAGAAAGAAAGAAAAAGAAAGAAAGAAAGAAAGAAATAAAGAAAGATATAATGGAAAGACAGTGAAAGTGGAAAGAAAAGCAAGCATAAATTAATGGCAGGAAAGAAAGAAAAAAAGAAAGAAAGAAATAAAGAAATAAAGAAAGAAAGAATTATGGAAAGACAGAGAAAGGGGAAAAAAAAAAAGCATAAATTAATGGCAGGAAAGAAAGAAAGAAAGAAAAAAGAAAGAAAAGAAAGAAAGAAAGAAAGAATGTAAAAGACAGTGAAAGTGGAAAGAAAAGCAAGCATAAATTAAAGAAAGAAAGAAAGAAAAAAAAGAAAGAAAGAAAGAAAGAAAGAAAGAAAGATATTATGGAAAGACAGAGAAAGGGAAAGAAAAAAAGCAATAAATTAATGGCAGGAAAGAAAGAAAAAAAGAAAGAAAGAAAGAAAGAAAAGGGTAAAAGACAGTGAAAGTGGAAAGAAAAGCAAGCATAAATTAATGGTAAGAAAGAAAGAAAGAAAGAAAGAAAAAGAAAAAGAAAAAGAAAGAAAGAAAGAAAGAAATAAAGAAAGATATAATGGAAAGACAGTGAAAGGGAAAAGAAAAGCAAGCATAAATTAATGGCAGGAAAGAAAGAAAGAAAGAAAGAAAGAAAGAAAGAAATAAAGAAAGAAAGATATTATGGAAAGACAGAGAAAGGGGAAAGAAAAGCAAGCATAAATTAATGGCAGGAAAGAAAGAAAGAAAGAAAGAAAGAAAGAAAGATATGTAAAGACAGTGAAAGTGGAAAGAAAAGCAAGCATAAATTAATGGTAAGAAAGAAAGAAAGAAAGAAAGAAAGAAAGAAAGAAAGAAAGAAAGAAAGAAAGATATAATGGAAAGACAGTGAAAGGGAAAAGAAAAGCAAGCATAAATTAATGGCAGGTAAGAAAGAAAGAAAGAAAGAAAGAAAGAAAGAAAGAAAGTAAAAGTGAGAAAGAAATACTAAGCAAATACAGCGAAAGGGGAGTGGGGAAGCAAACACAAAGGAGGAAAAAGAAAGAAAGAAAGCCAATGTAAAGGCTACGAAAGGGGAAAGGAGAAGCAATCATAGAATAATAATGACTAAGAAAGAAAGAAAGAAAGAAAGAAAGAAAGAAAGAAGAAAGAAAGAAAGAAAGAAGAAAGGAAGAAAGAAAGATGTGCGGTAGAGGATGATGGATTAAGTTGATGAATGTAAAAAAGAAAACGAGGATCAGGACAAAAAGAAAGAAAACGGGAAGAAAGAAAACGACAAAAATAATGAAGAGAAAGAAAGAGAAGCTATAAGGAATAACAGAAGGAAGAAAGAAAGAAAGAAAGAAAGAAAGAAAAAGAAAGAAAGGACAAAAAGAATAGAAGAAAGAAATAAAGAAAGTGGTATTTGGGAAAGAAAGAAAGAAAGAAAGAAAGAAAGAAAGAAGCATGTACGACGTGAGTAAATTGGAAAGAGTATTTGTTGAAAAAAGGAGAATGAGAAAAAAGAATGAAAGAAAGTAATGAAGAAAGTGTAAATGTAAGCAAGTTGAAGAAAGAAAGAATGAATAAAGGAAATAAGTAAGCAAGAAAGAAAAATGAAGGATAGAAAGTGCGAAAGAAAGAAAATGATAAAAGGAATTGTTGTATCAGATGAAAAAAAAAGAAAGAAATGAAATAAAAAATGATTGAAAGCAAGAAAGAAAAAAAGAAAGAAAGTAAAAGACAAAAAAGAAAAGTATAAAATGAAGAAAGAAAGAACGAAAGCATGAATGAAAAAATAAATGAAAGAAAAATGACGTAAGAAAGAAAAGGAGAAAAAGAAACGTTACATGAGCTGAAGAAAGAAAGAAAGAAAGAGAATTTAAGAAAAAAATCCAAGAATAAGAAAAAAAAAATAAAAGAAAGGAAGGTAAGTATAAAATAAGGAAAGAACAACGTAAAATATTGCAAGACAGAAAGCAAGAAGGAAAAAAAATGTCGAATGCCTAACACAACGAAAGATAATAAAAAATAAACTTATGAAAGAAATCTCTCCCTGACTAGTAATATATATCTTGAAGGCTACATGCGTGTATGGAGAGAAGGAAAGTTCATTGTAAGCGTCGTGATATATGCATAGATAACTGCTTCCAATTGACTAACTCTATTCACACACGCACAGGTGGCGGGAAAAGACAGGCAAAATGATACATTGGAAAAATAATCAAACGTATATTAAGAGAAAAGAAATAAAACAGAGAAATCTGTCGATCGAAGATTCTCAAAGAACAAGGGGACAAAGAAAAAAATGAATAGAACATCCCTAAAGTTAAGGGAAGAGAAAAGGGTGAGACGAACGCAGATGCATCAAGAATAAACAAGGCAAAAATGTAAAAAAAAAAAAATTAAAAAAAAAATACCTTGGAAAAAATACAAAAATACAAAAAAAAAAAAAACAAATAACCAAAAACGAAGACACTAAACAAGGAATATCTGGGAAGTTTATTAAAATTAAAGAAACCAAAAAAAAAAAAAAAAATTAGAGAGAGAGAGAGAGAAGGAGTGAGAGAGAGAGAAAGTTTACAGCACACATGAAAGAATTGCGTTATTAAAAATATTTCTGGAAAAATTAAAAAAAAAAAACCTGATAAAAAAAAAGCAAAAGAAAACCTAGTCAGAAACTGTTACAAACAAATATTTCTAATTTACCCCCCGAAATATTTTCCCCGCCATCTTTCTCAAATTAGCTTTCCATCTCACTGTGGGAGCGTCGATTGTCTCTAAAATTAATCAAACGATTTTCACCTAATTAGATTATTTGTCTAAAACGAATCATAAATTCTTATTGATTAAAAACAGACATCATTACCATCATAAAACTTAGTGTATTTTTTAAAAAAATACTACATGTATTAGTTGGCCTGTTTGTTCGTCTAATAACTGACCAATCCTTGCTTGTCCAATTTAAAAAAAAAAAAAAACAAAAAAAAAAAAAAAACAATTGAAACCTTACGGGGATCTCATTGTAGGTGTTATGCATTGAAAGATGAATTTAAAGCTATATAAAGACTTACCAATTTCAAACACATACACATACACACACACATACAGAAATATATATGATGATCGGATGTGGTGAAAGCTAGTTAGGTAGTACCTGGCTCATTAGAATTTATTTATTTTACTTTTGATTTACTTCGTGTATTGAGCACTTTTCGTTTTATCTTATACTCGCTGTTTTTGTTTTGTTCTCTTTTGTACCAGAAATTTAAGGTACTGGGCAATTTTTTTTGCCCTGTTTGAAGGTTTCTGGTGTTTTCCTTTTTTCTTCCAATTTTTCCTTAGATTCCAATTTTTTTTCACCCACCGAGTTTAAATAGATTTACATTTATAATAATCGACTCTCCCGTCGAGATTCGACGTATGAGGGTCAAGCAGATCAGTTTCCAGGAAACCGACAGCCCGACACCGGCACATGAGATTTGATTATAGTGGTGAAGGCCTCGAGCAGGACCATCCACACTTTCTGAAGGGCCGAATACAGAGACCTGGTGCACTACGTACCACAAGGTTCCCAAACGACCCTCCGCGGGTTTTGAATTCAGAGTTGTGCTTCTCCTAGACCAGTTGCCATCCAAGGCTATAGAACCCAGTCTGTCCTGCTATTTTACCCATAGCTGGAGGGAGAGGATTCATACCTTTCCCAAGGATATTAGCACGTAAGTAATGGATTCGACTGGAATGCGAACTCGGCTCTGCGATTCCTCAATCCAAGCCGCTATCCATTATATATATATATATATATATATATATATATATATATATATATATATATATATATATATATATATATATATATATATATATATATATATATATATATATATATATATATATATATATATATATATATATATATATATATATATATGGATTGAGGAATCGCAGAGCTGAGTTCATTCAATAAATAAGGGAAAATTTTTCTATGGGTAGGACAGACTGGGACTTCTAATACAGAAGGACAACCTGAATTAAAACTTTTTTTTGGGAACCTTGTGGCATGCATCGGTGCACCAGGTTTCTGTATTCGTCCCTCCAAAGTGTGGCTGGTCCTGCACAAGGCCTTCACCACTATAAACGTTGTCCGGTGTCGGGATGTCGGTTTCCTGGGGACTTATCGGCCTGACCCTGTCACACACTTTCCCCATCTGTGAACAAGCTTCTGTATTCCCTCAGCGTAAAAAATCTTGGGATTGATGTCTCAGCCAGTCGCTCACAACACTTTTGACTTCATCGTCACTTTTAAATTTCGTGCCTCTCGTGTACGCTTTCAAGGGACCAAACAGGTGAAAGTCTGAAGGGGTAAGGTCTGGGCTGTAAGGGGGATGAGGGAGCAGTTCCCATACCAGCTCGTTGATGGTCTGCACCGTTTGGGCTGCTGTGTGAGGCCTTGTGTTGTCATGATGCAAGATGACTCCTTCTGACTGATGACCCCTGCGTTTGTTCTTTGTCTTTCTTGACCTGCCTCAGCAGTTCACAGTTGTTCTTCTGCCAGACTGAATGAGGTCATTGACTGATTCGATCACCTCAGGAGACCTCACTTCTGTAGGCCTCCCAGGCCTGTCTTCATCCTCAACACTGCTCCGTCCTTCTTTAAACAATTTAGTCCACTTGTAGACATTTTTTGGCTGAAACATGTGGCACCATACACAGTTGACATTCTCCTATGAATGTCAACAGGTTTGCACCCTTCAGCAACCAAAACTTGATAACTGACCGCTGTTCAATCCTGGAGCATGCTTCTTGGTCGGCCATCTTTGTTAATCGCCAAAACTTTCAAAATTTTTTTTTAATCTGCAAAAGAAATTAAATGCATGTGAAAAAGAAGTAAAACAAAAAAAATTAAAAAAAAGTAATCTTCTATCTGTATTAGAAGTCCTTATACCGAAAAATTCACCTTATTGAATGAACCTCGTATATATATATATATATATATATATATATATATATATATATATATATATATATATATATATATATATGATCGAAATAAAAGTGTAAAATTTAATAATACAAGACATATTAAAACAATATTAAATAATAAAAAAAAAACTCAACAACAAGGGGTGGGGAAGCAACTGGTTTCGCTCCTGCTCATCAGGCTTCCACGGGAGATTCAAAATTAAAACAGAGAAATGTACAATAAGAAAATATATAAATATATATATATATATATATATATATATATATATATATATATATATATATAGGGTGTAACAGCAAAATTGGCCAAATAATTTGTAAAACCATGGGATAATTGTCCATCCCATAAAATGTTTAATATCTAAAAAAACAACTAAACTAATTGATTTTATTTTTTACAGGTCTTCAAATATGACACTTAGCCACCATTTGTCGTAAAAATCACTGAAAAGCTGTTTGTTTTATTCAGTCAGAAAGAGGACAAGTTAAAATTGTTTTATGTCAGCCCCAAAAGAGCAATGGTGAGAAGAAAAAGATCATTCAGGCCTTCAGTAATGGTGCTAACGATCATAATCTAGCTTCCATCTTCAAAGTCCATTCAAAGGAACGCCGAATAATTTAAAAAAGAGGGAACAGTAGAGATAAATAGAAAGGATCAGGATGATAAACAGGAAGAAGGATCATTTCAACTTAGAGCTAAATATATTCTTATTGCTCAAAGTAGAGTTTAATAGTGTTGTGAAAACCTCGGAAAATTCCAGTAAGATATATATGATACAACGATTCAAATCGTAATCTAACAATTAGACAATTTCGCTGTTAGACACGGTATGTTTCTCAAGAATCAATGGATTTATTCTTAATACGACATTTGAATATCTAAAGTAATATTTTTTAATATTTTTTTTATTAGACATTAATCATTTATTACTATAAATCTTATATTTTAATGCGTAAACGTAATTGTATATTTCTATAGTGAGACTAACAATCTAGTCCGGTTATTGATCTCGCTGTTTAAGAAAAAAGAAATCAGAGATAGCAACTCAAATACGTGTACCCTCTAAAAATAAGAGTTACCAGTAATAACGTAATATCTCTATCTTAAGTGGCTCTTGGGCCTTGCATTTTGCGACTATTGATTATATATATATCTATATATATAGGGAAACGAAATATAATTGTTTATATGAAGAGCGATAACTTTTCCATTCAGTCATAGATTACATCTATCTATCTATCTATCTATTTATCTATTTATCTCTCTCTCTCTCTCTATATATATATATATATATATATATATATATATATATATATATATATATATATATATATATCTTCAGACGTATGGATATGGGGTTTGTAATCCTGGGTTTCACGCTTTTGCGCGATCATTAGCATGTGGAAAGATTATATCGAATGAAATGCTACGTCTGCTGCTAAGGAAGTTGGGTTACTGTGTGATGTTGGTAATTTTTTTCTCCTC